TTATTCGCTATGCACCTCTCTTGGAATGATAAAAGGATCATCTGCTCGGATTAATTCATTTCTGAGAACCGTACAGTGTATGCTAACATTTCACCATTTTGAAGAACCGAGCTGTTCTCTGAGAGTTCTCGGTTAAGCCGACCTTATCCCAACGCTAGTGTTACAAAAGGAAGGGCTATCTTAAGGCCAAATCTGGCATAGCAGAATAATGTTATTAGCTCAGACAACCAGAGCAGATCAGCATTCACAATATGACAGAAGCAGTTGCTTGGAACACCATTGCTGTCAATGCATTGATCTCCAGAATGGAGGCGGTGCAAGTTTCAGACATGTTGTGAATTTGTTATTGTTGTGTTAAAAAAAAAAAAAGCCATCAATAGAAGAAATTGAGAACTTGCTACGTGAAATCGAGATCAACTAAGCATTCAAATATGGCTTCTGTACTCTTAATAGAACATATTTGCTTTGGTCCCTTCCTGGAAAGATTCCGAATCCAAGTTTCCCCACCCCATTTGATGATCTGCATTTGAAAAAGTTTTATTGCTAATAATGCCAGTTTACTAGGTATATCATTATTATTTAATAAAGATTATTTACCCTTATTCACTAATTTCATTTAAGATTATTCACTATACTTACAGGGCTTGGAAATGCTGCTTATGAGCTCCTTTTTAATTTGAGCTGCTGCTTCTCAGTTTGTTTTGGCATTTCATCAAAATTATAAAGCAGTTCTCCCATTTGCCATTAGCCTCTAATGCAGGATTAACTCGGAAAGGAAAAGTCTTCTGCTTTGTTACTGCTGCAGGTTTCCTGTTTTCTTTGAGAAATCTTGTCACCTGGGCTATCTCTTAAAAAAATTAAATTTGAGAGTTTTCTTCACATAAATGATATTTTTAGTATAGGATATATTTGTGGCTTTCCCTCATCAAAGTGGTTCCTTTTTTTTAGCACAGCATCTTGTCTTCAATGACTTTGGACAACCTAAAGATTATTCAATTGCATTTCTTATAGGATCTATCATGAAATTGAATTGTTCCTGTAAAAACCACTTTCATTAAAAATATTTGTTTTGTTCACTCCAAATGCAGTGTAGTACCCTCCTGAATTACAGACAGATGTTAACTTTCAGTTTCTGTTCCAGGGAGAGAGATTAAGGTCCCTTGTGATTAACAAATATGCAATATGCCATGCTGATAATCACTTCATTAATGTAAATAATTATAGGAATATAGGGCCTTAAGCAAAACATTTTGGTTTATTGTGTACAGCAAGTAATAGCAAATCAGTCTGTTTTTATTACTATTTTAATGGATTTTTTAAACATATTGTTAGGAAATAAGTGGTTTTGGCCTTAAAGGTAAGGCACTGCTTTGATCTTCTGGTGTCTATAAGTCTTTTTTTATAGCACTTTTCAAAAACAAGTTGTGGTTCACATTTAGTTTTTTGTTCCACCTCATTGTCTCTTTTCCTATTTCTTGTCTTTTGTATTGTTTATTGTCTATTTTCTTTGGCCTGTTTTTTAGTTCTTTTTATCTTGGGATTTATTTGCTTGATTAAGTGTTTGAGTTGTTTGTTGAAAAAGAAGATAAAGAAAAAAAAGACTTTATAGTCTATCAGAAATAGTTATGGTACACATATCACCAGAAATACACAAGTCAGTCTCAGTTCAAAGGTTCGTTTGTTGTCTTGTGTAAAAGTGATTGTTGGGGGTGGTATATATGTCAGAGTTACTACCAACCATTGTTTATTAACAGCTTATAAGGGGTATGTGGTAAAATCTGATAATTCAGCCATTTCTGTACTCTGAAAGTAAAAACTGGTTGAGTAAACAAAAATCAATCTGGCATAAACATGAGACCATTACAATTCTGGATCTGGATGATTGTTGTAAAGAGTCTGAGAAGACTTGTATTACATCAAGCCACTAGAAACTGTGTCAATGAGTAAATAAGTGTTGTCAATGAGTATTCCATTGTATTCCCTTCAAGTGACTGGAGGGTTGCTTTCCTCAGCTGTTTCAACTGGCATAGCATTTTTATGCAATATATAAAACATTATTTCGTCTTAATTAATTAACTGCTATGAATGTTTTTTCTTCCATAAAATAAAAAACTGTTCAAAGGGTGAAATAAATATAGCAAAGCACAATACCTTGGCAGATAGTGATGTTGACTTATAGCTCTTGGGTTATATCTAGCCAAGTTTTCTCTGGGGGCTCCAGTTTCCTCTCACATGCTGACTAGGTTAAATGGTATTTGTAAATTGCATCTGGGTGATTGTGTCTGCCCCCAGAGATTGACAAGCATCTGTGTCCATGGTATAGTCCAGCCTTGCACTCTATTCCTCAGGGAAGGCTTTGGGTTTTTGCAACCCTATCCAGGAACAAGCAACTTTCCGATAATAGATGAACGGATTAATTAAATGACCACTTATATATTGCTTAATTGTTGTAAATTGTTGGAAGGGTGTGAGGTTAGTGAATGATATTTAAAAGGAAATAGATAAATGCTTACGAATTAGTACCATCTGATACTTTAAACTGAAGATTCAGGATGAAAATGTGAGATTTAGTTAATTTTTTTCATGATGCTAGTTTTGTGGTTTGACCTCTCCTACACAGAATTACAGTAAAGGTAGCCTACTGAAAAACTGCTTAATAAATCTAATTTTACTCTATTTGGTGGGAGTAGGGGGTGGTTTTGTACAAGCTTTGAAAATCTTGTATAAGATGAGTCACATCTCTACAGAAAATCCCATAACGTTCCTTGTTCCAAAGTAAAAACAATTCAGTGGTTATTAGGATGAAAAATCAGGAGTAGTGACAATGCCAGTGACAGCAATGGTATTTTTAAATTGTGTTTGTGATGTAATATTTCGTGACAGTTAACCAGAGAATTAATGTTTAGCAGGACCTGCATAATGGAGTTCTACACAAAAAGCAACAAAAAAAAGGGTTAAGTCAGTTATTTCTGTAATGTTCGGGGTGTGCCTCCGAGAAAGGAAGCGCTGATTTACTTTATGTTGAGAATAATCAGTTGCATGCTGCCTTTCACTGCTTGAGAAAAGCCTTATTCATGGAAGATGCAGGGTTGTCCTGTTACTTATCCAAGGTTGGCAGATTAAATACAAATTAAATTAAAGCTTATACAAATGCTGCTCAAGTCAATTGTCAGACCCTGTAATTCTCATAATTCCCATGGCATTCTGTTTCTCGGAAGGTCACTGAGACGTTGGCTATTGCTTGTAGAGCACTGGGCCTTTCTTATGCCAAAGCGCATGAAGAATCATGGTTTTTCCAGAATCCTTTGTTTTTCCTAATGATGGAGAAAGATCTGTAATGTATAAGATCACCAACAGAGCCTGGGGGAAAAATCCAATGCATCATTTTGCACATTGGCTTATTTAAAAAGCAATTTAGCAACAGAGAAGTAATTATCATTTTTTAATATGTACATAATTTGTCCCTGTGTCATGGCGTTTTTTGGCTTTTTTCCCCGATACTAACCCACATTTGTATGGAAACTTTCTAGAATTTGTGGCCTGGATTCACTAATGAGTCTATAAATCCGATCAAACTTTTTTTTTAATACTTTACCTGGGTATTTATGAAATTATGATAAGTTTCCTTAAAGCCTTTTTTGCTCTGTGTGAGACATTTAGGCCATTAGGTGGATTGCTCCTTTTACAGAAAATCAGACTTTGTTTTAAAAGTTCTTACGATATCATAGGCCTTAAGGAATATAGAAATAGTGTGCAATTTGCTTTGCGTTTTCAAATCCATGAATATAGGTGAACAGTTTATCAGTGTTCAAAATCACTTAGGCAGCTGGCACTGTTATTGCTGTATTTGTTGCTTCTACAGCTAAACTTTAAACTCTGCAAGCGTGCCACTTGAAGTCTTTCACTGTCTCAGACTTTTCATGTTATCTTCACTGGCCGAGTGACTGGGATTTTGTGTGAAAAGGCTCGATATGTACTAAAAAGTCTTTCTGAAAAGGTTCGTCCTGCATTGTCTTTTGACATGAAGATTAAGTGTGAAAACTGTTTTGTTATCTAAAATGGGCTGTGTAATGGTTTAGTGGTATCAACACACAGAAGTACAATGATGTACCTGCATTTTTGCAGCTGAAATGAAAGAATTTTGAACTTGATAAACCGATTCCTATGCTATTAAGTTTTATAGGACCTTATATAATGTGTGCAAGGGTTTTTTAAACACTGTTCAGAATTTTTGAGAAAAGGTATAAAATCATCAGAAGACATTTTAATAAATAGAATAATACTAATAACTTCCATTAATAAAACTGAGAACTCTTCTTTCTCACTGTCCTCATTAAAAGTGCTGATTTGCCCTGGTCATACTTTAGTAGTCACTGAGGAATTGTTTACAAATAAAGGTATGTTTATAGAATATTATGTCATATATTGCATATTCAGAATCGATTTTCATATCATGCATAAAATTTTAAATTTACTGATGAGCCATCATATTTTTTTAATGAATTTCTTGCATCCACAAAGTGCTTTGAATGTTGAGTACCTTGCGAAACTAAGACAGCGATACTCAATTCACTATCCATCTTTTTTCAGTTGGCTTCTCTTCCATCCTTGCTATACACAAAAAATCAAGACTTGAACAGGCAGTGGCTCTGAGTTCGAAAAGCACATCACATTTTCTGTGCTGCAAATCTTTTTACAATTACACTCATCAGTCAGTGTCTATGTTGAATGATGTGCAGGCAAGAAAAGTCTTCATTGTTTATTGAATTCAAATTAGCAAACAACAGTACAGATGGAGAAAGTTCCACATAACTTAAACCATATTCAAACTGGAAGTTCTTAGAAAGTTAACTTTTCATTTACAAATGTCAACTTTGTTAGTGATGCATTAGGTATCCTAAAATGTACATCTTAGTACTTAAAAGCACTTAATTATTTGTCTAATCTGATTTTTTTCTTTTTTGTATGTGATATTGACAACAAATGTCTTAATTTTCCAGAATCTGTCTTCTTCAGAAGCCGGAAAAACAAATGATATGAGTGCTGTGTCTAAAGGTTCCTCAGAAACGGAAAACTTGATAACTGAGGCAGCAAACAGCTCCTCTGACAATCCACCAAACGAAGGGAGACTAATTAAAGGTAAGAATGTGAAGTTTTGTATGAAAACTCTATAGTGTGACTAACTTTCAAAAACGTTTTTAGTCCTGCATTTTATCAATGTTTTTAACAATGTAGGTTATCCATCTTCCCTTTTCATTTCACTGTCAGTTATCAAAACAACCTTTCTGTTTTTTGTAGACACATCCTAATAAAACGTTTCTGAATGCTATTTAATCTTTGATATAACATGCTGTGATCTTACTTTGTTTTCAGTTGCACTTTGTAAATTTTGAAATATAATTCTTAACAACTTTCATTTAATCAAGACACAAGTATGTTTGAGTACCCAGTCCAAACAACTAAGATTAAGTGAATCTCACATCGGCTTGGTGTGGTTATTCTGATTAAATTGCTATTTGCACATATGTTCATTACTTGAATTTTTGTTGGCTTAAATATTTTTTAAACGTTGATTTTTGGTGGGATAGATCCTAATTTTAACATGTTTTTAAAAAACAAATGTTATTCTTATGGTCTCCCATCTGTTTTATTGTTAGCTTTTTCAATTCAGCTTTTGTTTTTGTTCTGCAAATACACTTCCTTTTAACTACTTACGTACGAGACAAAGTTTTAACTTTGAAGTACACTGCCAGTACTCTATTGGATCTGCCTCACTTAATAATTTTGTAGTTGGAAATATTGACATTAAGGTACACATATAATTCATCACGTTGTTTCAGAAAGTTGCTTTTTTGAAGCAGACTCTTTACAAAAAATAGTTTGACTGTTGATACGTTTTTTTTTCCCCCGTTTCTGGTAGCTTCCTTTGCCCCGATTTGTTTTGCGATCAAAGCGAAAGAGAATGACCTCCTTCCTCTGGAAAAGAACCGCGTGAAGCTGGATGACGACACGGATGAGGAGGAGAGGGAAGATCAGGAGAGTACTAGCAGTGTTACAGTCAAGGAGGCTGTGGCCCCAGTGCCTGAGGAAAAGAAGCCCCAACTGACTCAGGAGGAGCTGGAGGCAAAGCAGGGTAAATAATGAGAGCTTATACTGTCATATCTTGAGCATTGTGCCAGATATAGTTTCTGTGAACACAGGGAATTATAAGTGTACCAGCTTACCCGCCAGTGGTGTGGAAGTCCTTCCAAAGATGATCCGGTGGTTTGGACTCCTTCCAGTGCCTTGTATTTGAAGGCTAGAAGGAACAAGTCTTCATATTTTCCTAAGAGCCTTTGTGCTGTTTTTGAAGTGATTTGGGTGGAGATGAAAGAATTACATAATGTTCTTAGGAAAAGCCATTCCTTTCATTCTTCAGTACTCATCATGGTAGTTTGTTAGGGTCAGGTAGACACTCCGGCTTAATTATTTAGGTCTGCAGTATAAACATAAAGAGGTATAAACATTTCACTGAAGTGATGCTACATTTTCACTTTTTTTTTTCTTAACGGACAATGAGAATAAGGCAACTGAGATCAAGAAGGTTGTTTTATCTTGTCTTGGAAGTAATCCCTAGTGTTCTGAAAACAAGCTCCGCAGGGAAATCATACAAAGTCTTTTCTGTTCAGTAATTGGAACTTGCTATGCTGTGACCTGCTACCAACCACGACTTCAAAAGGGGACTTGTGGCATTTTTTATACAATTTTGTTTTGTTCTGCTCAGACATATACAAACCTTGAAAATCCACTGCTTATCTGATTTTCCTTCCCCTAGAAAAGTCTTTGGGATGTCTGTTTAGTGAGTGATGAATATCTTGCTTTCTCAGAAAAACTTGAATTCAAATTAGCCTAACAAGTTAGCACTCAGTACCCCTATAAGGTAGTGCTGTGAATATCACTTTAATGTAAGTATGTGATAGTTGCATATTTTTCTTGGAAAACAAAAGGGGTGCAATCTCAAATATTTTACTAGTCTCATTCACAATGGTATTGTGCAATTACAGATATGATTAACAGACTTTGGGGGAATAGAGTATCTTATTATTTTTAGGTTAGCATGAAAGAATTTATTTCCTAGATAAGCCCTGATCACAGATCCCTATAAAACACCAAATTACTGAGCAGTTTGATTTCATTGAACATTGAAAGTTGTCATAAACCAAACTTGAAATAAAAAAGTCAGTGGGGCTAACTGGTTATTACAAAAGATGGATAATTCATATAATGCTTAAAATCTTAATTTTGTAGATGATCATTTTATTTTAAAAGACATTAACAATCAAAAAGATATTGATGCAAGGTATTTTCCACATTCCTCTCTGTAATTACAAAAACTTGCCATGTTTATTACTTCATTTTTTAAAACCGTAATTTAGATTTGATTTCTAGGATAGGTATTTATTTCTTTTTCTTTCACTGTCAAAGATTAGAATAAAAGTACAACATTCATTTGTTCTTTTTGTTATTGATTTGAGCATAGCTCAGTGAATATCCCATTAATCATTTTCTGACTGGATATGTACACTTGATATTAATAAATCAGGAATAAAACCTAGCTGTTTTTGTTTTTAGCATGCATGTATAAAGATATCCTTGTAAAAATGCAATTCTTTTTGCTTTATTTTAACCCTTGTAATTCATCATGGATGTTAAATACATCAACAGTAATGTGACTAACCATAAAATATGCATTGGAATAACTTGAGCTCCCACCATTTTGAGTACAGTAATTGAATGCTGTATACCTGGAGAAGAAAACTAGTACCAGCATCGTGTATGCACAATGCAAAGAAATAAATACTCTTGGCAGCTTTTTTCTTATTCATAAATGTGCCATTGCTGATCACACATCACCTGAGAAGTACCTTATTAATCTCCTAGAGGCAGGCAGTGTGTGGGCAATGGTAGAATATCAGAGCACTAAATGCTGAGGTGAAAAATATTGAATCATTCTGTTCCTCTGGGCATTATGGTAAGACTATAGATATTATATTTTGGTGTATTATTGTTACTTGTCATAGTATTGCTAATAATGTGTAAGTTAGAAATGTGAATTTTGCACTTGTCTCGTGCAAATCTTAAAATGTGTTTTTGTCATATTGAAACGTTTTCTATGTAGTAGAACCAGCACAACTCTGGATCTTTATTTTTGAATAAGTGTAAAGACATTGAATTTCATAGCTGATTGATATTATCATTAGTTAATTATAATTGCTGTGTTCTTAATGAAGGGACTAGCTTAACATTTATTTTTGAGAGAAAAATATTTAAGAAGAAATATATTTAAAAACAAACTTAACACTTTTAGTAAACTGATTGTCACTTTTTGATGTGAGTAATATCAAAACATCTATGCAGTTAGAATGATAAAATGAGACAAAGTAAAGGACCTCAATACCTAAAATAAATAGCATTGCAGCAGTCATTTACTCACTAACTCAATTAGATTGTGTGGTATTGATCCAGGACCCAAAATCTAATCTGTATTGATGGAGTTTAAAAGGATTAGAGGTGCTTGTTGTGATTACAGATGCACTTTTGCTTTGATATAACGAAGACTCTTAATTCAAATGTTGACCAGATGCCCTTTTTACCCCTGCTACAAAGACATGGTGGGCTGTATTATGTAGGCTATCCATCAATTAAATATGCTTCTGTCACTATAGGAATATCTTGAAATTAAATTGGTTCTGTGTCTCCTAAAAGCATGTTCTTCCTTAGCTCTACAGGGATACTTGCTCCAGTACAGTAAATCTGTCTTAAAGGTTGGAAAGTTTCATTGTTATAGTAGAGAATATGGGTTGCTTTCTAATTAATGTAATGGCTTGCCAAGACTTCCTGTGACCCACTTTGATTAAGTTGTCTACCAGTTCCTCTCTGTCTAAAATGACAAAGCATAAAACGGTGATCTCTTAAAAATGCAGTGGACTGTCTGTTTATTCACCTTGAGATGTAGACGCCTGACTCTTGAAAATAAGGTCCATTTAGATAAATTGCAGTTAATCAATGTAGACTTGTAGTTTAAAAAACATCCTACAGATCTGTTTTAGTTAGTATTTTTGTCACTCTACACTTTCCCTTCCTGTAGTGGTTCTGGTAAATGCTGTATATTTCGTAATACAAGTTGTGATGACAAATTTTGATAGTTTCATCACTGATTACTTTGTACTTTATGGCTGGGGAAGCTCCTCTGAAAACTTTTATGATGTCACAAGTGAGTACACAACCTCTCATTACTGAAGTACATTGCTAATAACAGGTTAGAAAGGAGACAGCTTTGCTTGTATTTCTTGGCACAATATCCGAGTAATGTAGTTATAATTTAAATTGAGGTATCTGCAGCCAAGCCAACCCAGTGTATTTGCTTGCTCAATAATCAATTTGTTGCCAATTTTGAATGTAGCTTGATAATTGCTTAGAAACCTACAGAATATTATTAAATATATATATGTATACTGACAGATGGATAGCTTGCAGTAATAGAAAGTTCTAACAAGACCTTGCATGAGTCAAAATCTCATTGTGTTCGTTAATGATTGTCTCAGGATGGAGAAACTTTACTTTTTTAAATTAGAAGAATAAATAGCATTTGACTGTAAGAATTCCACAACAGTAATCAAATCTAAGCATTAAGATCTCACATGTATATTGTGATGGTGATTAGTCTGTAATGATGAAATAGTTCCCACTTACTGCAGTGATTAGCAATTCTGTCTAATTTACACAAGGCATTGAACTAAGTGGTAAATTGTGCTCTTGCATAGATTTTATAGATTTCTGATATTTTTGTATGTGCCCCTTCCACCTAAATGAACGGTCTTTATCTCCAGTGTATTTGTAGTGGTTAATCCATGTGTTCCTTTTCTAAGAAAAAAGATCTTTGGAGTTTGAGGCGTAAGGGAATTTCTCTATGACCTCTTCACAGCACATCATGTCAAACTAAAGAAACAGCACTTAGCCTAAAGGCCTACCACAGTATTCACCCTCAGAATTGTTTTCAGCCATAATTATGTTAATTGTGTTAAATGTTTTTTTTAATTCTGAGGATGAGATCAGTTCCACTGGGCAGAGGTGTGAAACATAAACACACAGTATTAGAGTTTTGGAGGCATATTTCACAGAAAGCGTCGTGTTGATAAGTGGGTCATGATGACTAATAATGGCTTCAGTAGTTGGCTGTATGGGATCCTGTTGTCCAACTGTGTGTGAAATGAGTTTGCCACACTGAAGCCAAGCAAAAAAGCCTGCAAGGTTTCTCAGCAATGCTTTGTTCTAGTCTGAGTTGTCAGCGCAGTCATAATAAATAACAAATCGTGTGTTCTTGGTGTAGCTAAACAGAAGCTGGAAGACAGGCTGGCGGCTGCGGCCAGGGAAAAGCTAGCCCAGGCCTCCAAGGAGTCGAAGGAGAAGCAGCTGCAGGCGGAACGCAAGAGGAAAGCAGCTCTCTTCTTGCAGAACCTCAAACACCCGCTGGGGGAGGCGGAAGCCAAGAAACTAGAAGAGATGCCTTCTCAATCAGAGGTACCAGATCCCTTTCTTTCGCCTCTCACCATCAATTCACCTCTTATTCTAAGCAGCCATGGTTTAAGCAACTACAGAAGAAAAAAAAACAGTAACCAGATTCATTACACCAGTTTCATACTAGTTGATAACAAAACCTGTCAAAAGTCTCCTGGGCATTAAAGCCCAAGACGAGTTATTCTAACACGTTATTGCCAAGGGGAGCTTTTAACAAATACCTCTTTATTTCCTTCGCAAGCTGTAGGCCTGTATCTGGTTTGTTAAGTTTGAATTCTGTAACCTGCTGGTTGAGGTGAGGAGAAAACTGTTCTGTGAGGAACACGGTTTGCCGTTGCGTTTTAGGGAGTTGAATGTTGAAAAGGTAAGTCTGGCACTAAATGAAACGCCGTCAAGGTTTTAGCTGCTATTTGTGGAGAATGTTGACTGTAAGTCTTTCTATACCTCTGTTGTACAAGGAAAATAATGGAGTATTGATCTCCAAAGAGCAGGGCATCCGGACGGAGAGTGATGGTGATCAGCATCTTTATTGTCTTCATCCACCTTAAGGCAATGAATTGTATTTTTTTATATGTCAATGCAAACCCAAACTACACTCTTCTGAATTTGGCAGAATTCTCCGATGGTGTGTTTCTGATTGATTTAAGCCAAGTATCAAATTGAGATAATTTTTTTAAAAAGTTTTAAAAAAAAAGTTGAATACGATTCTAAATGAAAGTTGCTGGCAGTGTAATTTAGAACATTTATATGTGCAATATCTTCTATTTTGGTCAAAATATGAACATTTATTGTGGGTGTATACATCTAAAAGGTGAAAATCATTTCTGAAACTCATAATACATATACATATTTTCATGTTCACTGAATTATTCTTTCCATTGATTTGGAAGGTACTAGGAGCCATTAAATTTGGTCAAGATGATGTTGTCTTAAATTGTCTCTTTATTGGCTAAAACAATTGAATTGATTTTGTCCTTTACTGCCGATTTATAAGTACCTTTGAAACGTGGAAATGTATTGCCATCTCTTCTCCTGGGAAACCTACCTGGAAATTCAACAAAAAAACTAACTTTTCATGTATTTCAGTGACTCGTGAATCCTATTAATTCCAACTGAATTATAAACATCTAAAAAAACAACCATATTTTCTATATTCATGCATTTAAGGGTTCATCATACGTCAGATTAGCTGGGTTTTTTAGGTCTCAGTATAAAGCTTTCACTTGTCCTTGTCCACATGCTACTTGAAACGGAATCAAGGAGGTGAATGAGGCAGCTCATAGAAACATGGTAAATGAACAGTGTTGAGGTACAAATATTTTGGTCATTGTGTAAATAGTTTATCTTCTGCTCACAACTGTCATGCAATATGTTATATCCTGTCTTTCTTCTGTAGGGAGTGCAGACTTGTCGTTGAAAATTATTGGAAAGTTGATTGTTTTATGAAGGCGATTCATATGTGTTTTTTAAAGCACTCACTTGATGTTTTATTTAATTCACGGAGGGAAAACTTTCAGTGCTTCTCTGTAATGTAAATTATTGAGAAGTATACTATTAAAACCATTTCCCAATAAAATATTTTATTAGTGATTTTTTTATTTGTGTCAAGAAGATAATCATCTCTATGGAGATCTGCATATAAAACATGGTTAACTATTAGGAAAACAGTTATAAGACAGATTTAAATTAAAATCATCTGCAACTTAAAATTCCATCATAAAATGTTTCACTGACTATAAATAATACTAGTATTATCAGATAATTTACTGCATCTTTGCTATGTTGCTGACACCACAAGTTATTATCAGTACCTTTTCCAATTGTACTGTTGTATCTTGTAAAAAGCATTTTAGAAGACATTAGAAGTTGTTAGTGATACAGAGCCTGTAAAATGTTTCAAACTTAACGTCTATAGTCTTTGACTATTTTTGTGTCAACTGATAAATGTTTTACAAACTTTTTTCCCCCCATTTACTACGACTTAATCTTATGGAAAAAATATTACACCCATTTTTTGCATTTTCATATTGAGCCTCTTTTGGTTTTGTGTTTATAGTGATCATTTTTGCCTAGAAGAATAAGGTTAAACTTTTTTAAAAGTTGATAAAACTAGGGTGGAAAATACATCTGGGGTTTAAGTCAAACAGGATGTTGACAAAAACTCAGAAATTAACTTTTATTTGAAATGACTTTGCAGATTAAATAGTGCAATCTGTTATGGAAAATCTGTCCTGTTGGTTCCTTACAGGATAAAGCAGCTGTGGCAGATAAGACTTCTTTTAAGTGGAAATAAGATTCAGAGAAGCTGTTTGAAGTCTATCATCTTGTCTGGCACTTTTAATGGTATTGTCAGGTCTTTCATATGTGTTCCTAAACTTCTGACTCCCACCTTACTGTTCAGATGAGGTGTAGCCAATTAATCCTTCAACAGATGTAAGGAATGGACCTTTTCTGCATATTTTAGTTTATAAAAGATTTTAAGCTGATAAACATTTGAATCTACTGTTCCTACTCCTGATAGCTGCATTACTGTGGCAAAGGCACAGGTAGTGGACAAAGGATTTTACATTGGCATTTAAATTTAGTTAATAGGACATTCAGCCATTAGATGTGGCCAGTATGGCCTATGTATGCTGTCTACAAACATGTTATGGTATGCCACCATGTCATAGTTTAACAACATGTATAATTATGTAGGTAGATGCATTCTTCCACAAGAATGTGAGTCACTCACACAATGGAGTGGAAAGTCCTGTCTTAAATATGCTCTATGAATGGGGGCATTATAATCTGGGAAGATAACCCTCTCTGCAGGAAAGAAATGCCAAAGATGTAGAAATTGTGCAGATGATCACTTATTCTCTTGGAAGGCAATGTTAATGCTTGCTACTCAGTGATACTAGGTGCATGCAAACCGTGACAGGAAAATACACCTGGCGATTAATGGAACCACCAGAATCCTCAGTGAAGACATGTTGAAGGATGATTCATCTAACCATACTGCATTTCTCATGAAAATGGTCTGACTTGCCCCTGGTTGCTTGGATGCTCATGCCCTAGGTTGAAATTTGCAGTCTATTGCCTGTTTTACTTTCAACTTTGAATTAATGCTCAAATATCACAGTCTTGGAGGATGCACTTTCCCTGGCTAATGATGTCTTTCTCGCGGGGTTTCGTGATGACATCACCTTAGACTTTGCTGCTTGTGAAAGATCAGCAGGTTGATCACTGAATCTCCTTGCAGATTTGCCTCAACAATTACCCCTCTTTCAAGGGTCAAAGAGATCTCCTGTAGCTATGCTAACCACAATTACAGAAACCAAGTGTCACTGTTTTATATGTGACACTTAAGTACACCAGGATGTTATTTGTTTAATTAATGCACGAGTAACACTTGTCCTTCACTTACCTTCAGTAGGTGTTTGCTTCTTTGTGTATCCTGCCTGTACCATTATATTATCCAAGCAAAAGACTAACAGTCATCTTTATAATTTGACCACAGTGAATTGCTTGTATATATGCAGACAACACTGCTTATTTGGTGCAAATAAGTATTTCTGTTATTATTGGTGTTCATTTAGTTCCTAGACTTTTGAGAGTGTAAAATGGTTAGGCTAAATATATTTCTGCATTGATTTCTCTCAATCTCATTATCTCAAAACTCAGTTTTTTTTAATTAAATGAAGATAATTAAAATGTTTAATCAGTGTAGTTAAAAGTCCTGTGTGCTAAATGAGTCATTGTACATTGCATTATCTATGGAATTCAGCATGAGTTCAGTGAGGCTGAGAAAGGAAAATATGTGTAATTAGGATGTGTATCAGAGCTATGATTTTTTCTCCTTTGTAATGAGAGTTAAAGTATTGCTGAATGACATTCTGAATGCTGCTGGACTTTAAGATTGTAGAATTCTTCCACACTGTATTCTGGTAAATTGTATTTGTAGATTAAATGAAACAGTTACATCTGAGTCAAATAGTCTCATGAATAGTGTTCCTAATGATTACATTGTTTTTTCCCTTTTACCCTATTACCTTTTAGCTTTTCCCCACCTTTATGTGTATATACAGCAATAATGTAGAGGAAATGTACAGTAATTCACTACTTAACTAGAAACTCTACAGGGGAGAATAATTCCAGTGGAGTTATTTCACTATCTGGGAGAACTGTTCTACAGCACTATGTTTGCTAGAACTTTGGGTGAAGACTGGTAATGGCCTAATTATAACTTCTGTTTCAGTGGATCTGAATTTCTCTACTTTTATCCTGAACTTCCTTTGAACTTGGGAGAAACTGCAACATGTTTACAGGGCGTTAGAAGTCCAGAATGGTAATACAGGGTTTTGCCCCTCTATTTACACTTATTAATTTAGTAGGCTTTTATCTAATGTGACTTAAATCACGTTTAGTAGATGCAAAGGGTACAGATAACAGTAGCTTAAAACTACAAAGCACAGTTAAATATTTGACATTTACAGGATTATATATAACCTTTGTATTTTCTGTTCATTTACTTGTTTAAAAGTTTCTTGGGTCAAGGAATGTATGGACATTTTATCTCCCAAGCAAAGATCTGTTACAAATGATTGTTTTCTTTTATCTTTTTAATGTAGGTTACTGCATTTTATTAATAAACTAAACTACTTCTGTCATGTTTCTCAGAACTTTAATTATCAGAGTTTATTTTTTATTTTTGAAGCACCACTTTTCTATTGACTTTTTTGTGGTTATGTTTGCTTCTATCCAGAAATTGGAATTGCTGCTTGTTAGAACTCAAAGCTTGAACTGCATGAATAATTTGACATAATGATAAAGAGCTTTCAATTCCAAAGTATCTCAGAACTTTACATAAAAGCACGCAGCTGAAGTGCAATACCCACCAGGATGCCACACAACAGTCATTACGATCCAGCTGCCCAAAAACTCAGTACATCGCAGGAAAAGTAAGAAATTGTTTTACTGATTGAATTAAAGGAGACTTCTTGTGTGTAACCTAAAACAGA